TGGCACCACAGGAGCCAGGATCCCATATGGGTGCCTATTGGTGTTCTGGTTGCTCCACTTCCAATTCAGCTTCTTGTTTATGACCTGGGAAAGGAAGTGGAGGACGGCCCAAAGGCTTGGGACCCAGGGCCTGTGTGAGAGACCCGGGAAGAAACTCTAGGCCCCTGGCTTTGGATTGGTTCAGCTCCAGCCATTGTGGCCATTTGGGGAGTAAACCAGTGGATGGAAGATATTTCTCTGTCTCTCCTTCTTTCTGTAAATCTGCTTTTCAAATAAAAATAAGTAAATCTTTAAAAAATAATAAATTTTTAATACATGACCTAAGAAAGTAAGTTGTCTTTAGTAGAGCTTGTGTAAGTAGACTTAAGGAACTAAGTAAGGAGCTCAGAGTCTTAGAGGGCTGGTTTCTCATTGTTGTTGATCAATGTTTAAATGTCATATGAAATGGTTCTTTAGGAGTTTGTTTCATTTTATTATCATTATTTTGGCTTGTGAAAAAGCTGAAATTTGTTCCTTTAGACCTGGCATCATTCCTCTAATACTCATTAACTAGGCAGGTTGAACCTGGCACTTCCTCTCAGCTGAGAAGGCACGGAGTTTAACTGCAAGCAAATATTTGACTGGATTAGACTGGGTTTTTTTTTTTTAAGATTTATTTATTTTTTATTGCAAAGTCAGATATACAGAGAGGAGGAGAGACAGAGAGGAAGAGCTTCCGTCTAATGATTCACTCCCCAAGTGACTGCAAAGGCCAGTGCTGTGCTGATCTGAAGCCAGGAGCCAAGAAACTCCTCCAGGTCTCCTACGTGGGTGCAGGGTCCCAAGGCTTTGGGCCATCCTCAACTGCTTTCCCAGGCGACAGAAGCAGGGAGCTGGATGGGAAGTGGAGCTGCTGGGATTAGAACTGGCGCCCATAAGAATGCTGGCACGTTCAAGGCAAGGACTTTTGCCTCTAGGCCACTGTGCCGGGCCCTGGATTGGACTGTTATTGATTACCATTCCTGGCTATGATCTTAGAAAGTGTGCTTTTTGGCCTGGCGGCACAGTGGCCTAGCAGCTTAAGTCCTCACCTTGAACGCCCGGAATCCCATATGGATGCCGGTTCTATTCCCAGCAGCTCTACTTCCCATCCAGCTCCCTGCCTGTGGCCTGGGAAAGCAGTCGAGGACGGCCCAAAGCCTTGGGACCCTGCACCCACGTGGGATACCCAGAAGAAGTTCTTGGATCCTGGCTTCGGATCGGCATAGCATCGGCTGTTGCGCTCACTTGGGGAGTGAATCATCGGACGGAAGATCTTCCTCTCTGTTTCTTCTCCTCTCTGTATATCTGACTTTCCAATAAATAAATAAATCTTTAAAAAAAAATTTAAAGAAAGTGTGCTGTTATACAGATTTTAAAAAGAAATTGTTAGCATGTCAAATTGTATCATAGATCTTGGCAGTTTCCACCTTGGGTTTTTTTACGAAGCTCAAAACGTCTTTATCTACACTTGATCTTAGCCAAAAGTCCAAGAAGCGATGAGAACATCTTCCTCTGAGATTCTGTTTTGTGTGGACTCAGGAAGGGCGTTTGTGCTTTCGGACACTCAGCCCTGGCCTTCCGGCACTTCTGTCCACACGGCCCTGGGAAGGATGGGTAGCCTGTTCCCTCTGCCAGCCACCTCCACCCTGAGGGAGTCTGCACGGACAACGTAGAGACTGCCACCGGGGAGAGCTGAGGGCTGTCAGGAGGTGTGCAGGCCCGCGCCACATCCCTGCCTTGTGGGAGCATGCCTCTCCTGGGGGTCGGACCGTGTCAGGGGTCTCTGCTCCTGCCAGGCCTTTCTCACTGCCCCTCCTCGCCCCCATGAGTGCTACTTGTGCCAAGTGGCAGGTTCATGGCAACTGGTTAATTATGCTAACAGTGCTTGACAAATTGGAGACACTAGGCTCTTTAGCCTTGAAAAACTCAAAATGTTGGGGCTGGCACCTTGGCTCTATAGGCTAATTCTCCTCATTAAAGTGCCAAGCATCCCGAATGGGCACCAGTTTGTGTCCCAGCTGCTCCACTTCCCATCCAGCTCCCTGCTTCTGTCTTGGGAAAGCAGCAGAGGATACACCCAAGTGTGGAACCTGGAAGAAGTTCCTGGCTTCTGGCTTTGGATCAACTCAGCTCTGGCCATTGTGGCTGTAAACCAGCATTGGGAATGAACCAGTGGATGGAAGATCTTTCAATCTTCTGTTTATAAATCTGCCTTTCCAGGAAAAATAAATTTAAAAAACAACTCAAAATGTGCCTTTTCCTGCTAGGGATTAGGTATTTGAAATTGAGCAGAAGAAAACATATTTTGGAAAAATCTTGGAGATGTTACTATGTAAGAGTAGGAGAAACTTCTTTTTCCCACTTCCTCCGGTCATGATGTCATTTTTTTCAAAAGATTTTATTTATTTTTTTCTTGGAAAGTCAGATTCACAGAGGAGAGAAAAAAATCTTCCATCTGCTGGTTCACTCCCCAAGTGTCCACAATAGCCAGAGCTGAGCTGATCCGAAGCCAGGATCCAGGAACTTCTTCCAGGTCTCCCACACGGGTACAGGCTCCCAAGGATTTGGGCTGTCCTCGACTGCTTTCCCAGGCCACAAGCAGGGAGCTGGATGGGAAGCAGAGCAGCTGGGATATGAAGCAGCACCTATATGGGATCCCAGTGCATGCAAAGGAAAGACTTTAGCCACTAGACTATCATGCCAGGCCCTGTGATATAATTTTTTAAAAGATACATTTATTAGAAAAGTGAACAAACACATACCATACACAGAGATAAAGATCTTCCATTTGTTGGTCACTCCCCAAATGGCTGCAGTGGCTGGAGCTGGGCCCAGCTGAAGCCAGGAGCCAGGAGCTCCACATGGGTAGCAGGACTCAGGCATTTGGGCACTTTCCCAGGCATATTAGCAGGGAATTGTATCGGAAGCTGAAACTGTAGCTTGGACTTGAACCCACACTCCAATCTGTGATGCGTGTGGCAAGTGGGACTTGACCTGCTGTTCCACAAAGCATCCCCCGGTTGTGACATCATTTAGACCTTCGTCAGCAGTTTACTGAGGAGCTGGTGCAATGGCCCAATTGGCTAACCATCTGCTTAGAAGTGGCAGCATCCCATATGAGTGCAAGTTTGTGTCCTGGCTATTCTACTTCCAATTCAGCTCCCTGCTTGTGGCCTAGTAGGGCAGTGGAGTTTGGTCCAAACCCTTGGCACTCCACACCCGTCTGGGAGACCCAGAAGAAGCTCCTAACTCCTGGCTTCAGATCGGATCAGCTCCAACCATTGCAGCCATTTGGGGAGTGAACCAGCAGATGGAAAAACTTTCTCTTTATCTCTCCTGCTCTCTGTAAAATCTGCCTCTCCAATAAAAATAAGTAAATTTTTTTTGTATATATATTTTTTTTATTTTAACAATTGTTACTTGGTTAATTTGGGCAAAGGGTAAAAGAAGTAATTTTTTGGGCCCGGCGCAGTGGCGCAAGTGGTTAAGGTCCTCGCCTTGCACTCCCGGGATCCCATATGGGCGCCGGTTCTAATCCCGGCAGCTCCGCTTCCCTTCCAGCTCCCTGCCTGTGGCCTGGAAAAGCAGTCGAGGACGGCCCAAAGCTTTGGGAACCTGCACCTGCGTGGGAGACCCGGCTTCGGACCGGCATAGTATTGGCCCGTTGCGCTCACTTGGGGAGTGAATCATCGGACGGAAGATCTTCCTCTCTGTCTCTCCTCTCTGTATATCCGCCTTTCCAATGAAAAAATAATAAAAATAAATCTTTAAAAAAAAAGAAGTAATTTTTTTAAAAAAAGATTTATTTATTTATTGGAAAGTCAGATATACAGAGAGGAGAGACAGAGAGGAAAGTTTTCCATCTGATGATTCACTCCCCAAGTGAGCGCAACGGCCGTTGCTATGCTGATCCGAAGCCAGGATCCAGGAACTTCTTTCGGGTCTCCCACACAGGTGCAGGGTCCCAAGGCTTTGGGCCGTCCTCGACTGCTTTCCCAGGCCACAGGCAGGGAGCTGGATGGGAAGTGGAGCTGCCAGGATTAGAACCGGCACCCATATGGGACCCTGGGCGTGCAAGGTGAGGACTTTAGCCGCTAGGCCACATCGCCGGGCCCAAGAAGTAATTTTTGTTTAAGAATTGTATTGAATGCCGACATGTGCCGGCATCACTTGTCCCTTTTGTGTTACGTTCTCTATAGTATGGGGCAGGCATTTGGTGCAGCACTTTAAGGCATAGCTTGGAATGTGCACCTCTCACACCTGAGTCTGCTGTGAGTCCCAGCATTTGAAGAGTGAACCAACCAATGGGAGATTGTTTTAAACGTTTATTAAAGGGCCTGGTGCAGTGGCCTAGTGGCTGAAGTCCTCGCCTTGAACACACTAGCATCCCACATGGGTGCCAGTTCTACCCCAGCAGGCCCACTTCCCCATCCAGCTCCCTGCTTGTGGCCTGGGAAAGCAGTCGCGGATGGCCCAAAGCCTTGGGACCCTGCACCCGCGTGGGAGACCTGGAGGAAATTCCTGGCTCCTGGCTTTGGGTCAGCATAGCACGAGGCATTGCAGTCACTTGGGGAATGAATCATTGGATGAAAGATTTTCCTCCTCTCTCTACATCTGACTTCGTAAAAAATAAATAAATAAATAAATAAATAAATCTTTAGAAAAAGTTTATTAAAATTTCTACTAAGGGGTCCAGTGTGGTAGCCTAGCAGCTAAAGTCCTTTCCTTGAATGTGCCAGCATCCCATATGGGCGCCGGTTCTAATCCAGGCAGCCCCACTTTCCATCCAGCTCCTGCTTCTTGGAACCCTGCACCTGTGTGGGAGACCTGGAGGAGGCCCCTGGCTCCTGGCTTCGGATCAGTGCAACTCCAGCTGTTACGGCCGCTGGAGGAGTGAATCAATGGGCAGACAATCTTCCTTTGTGTCTCTCCTTTCTGTATATCTGACTTTTCAATAAAAATAAATCTTAAAAAAAATTCTACTTAGCTGGTATGGGAGTACCATGATCCCGAAGGTGGTTTTCCAGGGCGAGGCTCACACATGGCACTCCGGGTGTGCTGACCCCTGCGGTTTCCCCAAATATGGGAAACTCAAATGCATAATTTGTGGTAGTCGGGGACTGCGTTCACGCTAAAAAAAAAATTATTAAAATTTATATAGGGTAGAATCTCCCATTATCTCACTTTTAAGTAAGACTTCAAAGTTGTTTTTTTATCATTAATGCAGGTTTAGCTATGTCACTACAGAGGCTGTTTTACAGTGATTAAATTGGTTTAAATAAAGTTAATATTTGGAAAAATTATACCTGTGACTGTCAGTTAGCTGGTCCTCCTCTTTAATAAAGTACATTTCTAATTCAGGTGGTTGTGTTAACTGTTCTCTTTTTCTTTCCTTTGAAAAAGAGAGGTGGTAGGCTGGCTCACTCCCCAGAGGTAGGAGGTAGCTGGGGCGGAGCCTGGGGGAGGGGCCAGGGGAGGGGCCAGGGGAGGGGCCAGGGGAGGAGCCTGGGGGAGGAGCCTGGAGACTGGGTCTCCCACCCCCTGGGCAGAGAGCCAGGCCCTGGAGCCACTCTCTGCTGCCTCCCAGGATAGGCCTCAGCAGGAAGCTGGTATCTGGACAGAGAGGATGCTGCTAACCTAAACAGCACCTGGTCAGTTACACCAAACACAGCCCTGGAATACTCCATTCCTCTCCCAGAGCTGCCACTGTGGCTTAGCCGAGTTTCAGCCCACTTTGTCAAGAAGCCTCCCTCACACTCATGTACAAATTTTGTAAATAGTTATTTAATGTTTAAATTGCTTTGAAGCTGCAGTAGAAAGACCTGTTAAAAACAAAAGTATTTGAATCTGGCTTTGTGGTGCAGTGTGTTAAACGGCTGCTTGCAATGCCAGCATCTCACAAGGAAATACCAGTTTAAGGGCAGCTACTCTGCTTGCCATCTAGTGTCCTGCTGATGTCCCTGGAAAGTAGCAGAAGATGGCACAAGAAGCTGGGCCCTGGCACCTCACATAGGAGGTCCAGAGAGAGCGCCAGGCTGCTGGCTTTGGTTGGACTCAAGTGTGACCTTTGACCTTTGTGGGTATTTGGACATGAGCCAGTGGATGGAAGATCTGTTACTCTGCCTTTCAAATAAATTTTAAATAAACATCAAAAAGATAATAATGAGTATCTTAACATATACACTTTAAGAACACTAAGTGAAAATGGAGACATTGACCTAGCTTGACTGTAGGACATGCCTGTGTTTCCGGTCTAAGCATTGGAAGTGTTGGGAAATGAAGATCAGAAAATAAAATAGCTGGGAGTGCCTGACTCGGGATTAAGCCAGTAATTCTGTCGCTCCCATCTTTTCCTTTCTTGGAAGGGAAGTAAATTGCTTTTCTGGTATATTGCCTTTTAATGATGTAAGTTGGGCTAAAGAGATTGTATAATCGCCTGAGACATCGCAGTGACAAAATGTTCCACTGAGTTTGTGGGAATTGGTATGTTAACACTGCAAGTCTGTCTCAGCAGGGTGGCATTAGCTGCAGAAACAGGAAGCAAATTAAAACCAGTCCCTTTATCTTCTCCAGACCCTGCAGCCCCTGTAGCACGCTGCTGCGCAGGAAGGAAATTAGATGGAAATTACATTCTCAGTTATTTTTTAAAGTCCTAAACGTCACCTGTATGTCAGCTCGCAGTCTCCTCGCCTTCCTCTGTGAGCCTGTCTTCTCATTCCTAAGGAAGCTTTTCTGCTTGTTAGGGAAATCTGCAGCCCTCTCTCCTCTGTCCCTACCTAGCCACCAATTAGCAAGATGAGCAGAAAGGCTCCCATGCTGAGCCCATGCCAGGGGCAGGGCTGACACTGCTTCATGAACGGAGCTTTGTAAGCCCCTTTTTATCTCCCTGGAGAGGCCAGCAATAGGTTTGCTCTACCCCCTGGAGTCCATAGCTATTTCAGGCTAACTACTCATTAAAGTCAATTTAAGATATTGCTAAAGCCCTTGGATTCCTTAAGTGAATTGCCTCCACTTGAATTCAGCTAAAAAATGGTTCAGGTTCACTCCCAGAGGGCTGACCCAAGTTCTGGGCACTCCTGGGCCCCCAGCCGCAGCACAAACGCTGCTGTCCCCAGCAAGACCAGCGACTTGTTAAAGGTCTAGGAAAGCTGCTGTGAGAGCACACCCCACTGCAAGAAAAGGAGCAAGGAGGGAGCCTCTAAGAATAAGGGGGAAGGATGGGGTTGTCTTTCCCTTCAGCAAGAACTTGTATCTGAAGATGAATGAGCATGCACCCTGGCACAGGTGTGCCTCTCTTCCGGTGGAACCCACTGCAGCACTGGCAGCCTCGGAGTAACCAAGGACAACACCGTGGACATTCCTGGGGAAGGCGGAGCCGGCCCTGCATCCTTCTCATGTTGATACAGAAGGGGTGTGCAGAGGCCAGTGATTTATTAAAAACAACAACAACTACAAAACTTGCAGTTGTATTTTTTTATTTGCTTTTTAATATTGTTTACATAGTTGAGAGATACATGCCCATGTGGACCTCTGATGGGGGTGGAGGGTCTCGGGTAGAGGGAGAGTGGGTGGGACATATGTTTCAGGCTGGTTTTTTTCCCCTCCTGTTTCCACGAGGAAGAGGGGCAGGGTGCCGCCCCTTGCTGTCACAATACATCAACATCTGGGACTGAGGGGATGGTCATTTGTGGACGCGTTAAAGACCCTACTGTGGGGAAGAGTGTTCTGAGGGTGTTAGTTGAATGGTTTTGATAGTTCTGAATTGTTGCTTTCGATGCTCCAGGGTTGAGAAAATCTTCCCAAGGCCTACTAGATGACAGTGTTCACTTTAATGCATCAGGAACATATGGCAAAGCTTGACCAGGAGAACTGAACAACCTGTTCTGTTTCCCATCCTCTGATGAGGCAGTCAGCGTCCCCCGCTGGCCTACATGAGCTGCCGTCATGCCCCCCGTGAGCACCTGGGCATGTTGTCCACCGCACAGGCATCAGCAAACTGAGGAGGCCCAGCCTTGATGCATGCACTCCAAGACTGGACCACATACCCTGTGATTTTCCCTGTGGCCAGGGTCTGAGTCCAGCAGTCTAGCTTGGGAGTCTCCCAAGAAGCCTTACCTAGAGCGACCTCAGATTGACTTTTTGTGTGTGCCAGCCAGTGCAGGGTCAGGTTTGGTCTGTCACCTGTACCAACCAATGCAAACGCCAGTGGATGCACCTGCCTGATCAGTTCCACCCTAGCCCTACATTTCATGCAAACCAACAGGTATTGAAGCCCAGCCCAGCCAACTCACCACAGACTTGGTCCTCGTGCATACCAGTGGGTACTGTGGCCTAGTTGGGACAACTCCCAATAATACCATCAGGCCTACCCCCAGCCCTGGTTTTTGTGCATGCCAGACTTTGCTGCAGCCTAGCCCACTACAGCCTGAATCCCATCCAGCTTTCAAGCACATTCATGAGTGCTGTGGCTTACCTCAGCCCATTGCATCCCCAGACCTTCTCACGTCTGCCAACAGGTGCTGCCGCCTTATCCAACCTGGCCTGGTTCTTTTGCTCACCTGTGATAAGTATGGCCTAGCAGGGGAGTGCCAACAGTTCCCCTCCCAGGCATATTCCCAGTCCTGGACTTGGTACCTGCTGGGAGAACTGTGGTCTAGCCTCACATGATTCTTACTCAGTCCTGGTACTTGCCAGTTGGTGCTGTGGCCTAGCCCAGCCAACTGCACCTGTTCTGGCTCTTGTGTCAGTGGGTACAGCAACCTAGCTCAGCCTGGCCCAGCCCCAGACTATCCTGCTCCCAATCCCAGCTCTCAGGCTCACCAATGGAACCATCAGCCCAGCAAGAGTCCCCCAAATTCCCCTACCAGGCCCATTCACATCCCTGGGTCCTGTGTGTGCCACCATTTGCTGTGGCCTAGCCTGATATGGCCTGCCCCCGTCTCAGTATACACCAGCAGGTGCTACAGCCTACTCAGCCCAGTCTGCCCCTAGTCCCAGCTCTCGAAAGTGGGTACAGCAGTCTAGCCCAGCCTGGCCCACTCAAGCACCAGCACTAATGTGAACTGATAGGTGTTATGGTCCAACCCAGTCTGGCTTGCACCATGTCCTGGCTCTCATTCATGCCAACATATGCTATGAACTGACCCTGCCTGCCCCAAGATTTGGCTCACATGTATACCAATGGGTGCCACTAACTAGACTGACATGGCTGGCCCCCAGTCCTGGCACTCACCAGTGGGTACTACAGCCTAACTCAGCTAGCCTGCAACCCTTCCCAGCTTTCACCAATGGGCCCATCCCCAGACCCAGCTCTCATGTACCTCAGCAGGTGCCACAGCCTAACCTAGCCCATTCCACACCCATTCTGGCTCTTTCAAATCACGAGCAGGTGCTAGAGTCTCACCCAGTCTGGCCTCCCCCTCAATCCAGCCCACATGCATGCCAATAGGTGTTGCAATGCCGGAGTCCAGCTCCAGCTGAGTTCGGAACTCGAGAAGGGTGCGTGGATGAGGCATAAAGAGGAAAGAAATGGACCACTACGATTTCATGATCATAATGGACAATACGGGAAAGCTGTCCGCTTTATTTATACAGAAACAGTCAAACTCTGGCTCAGACTTTTAATGTCATGGTCAGGTGGGTGTTTCTAAGGGTAATTCTGCCATTTGTTTTACCTAAAAACAATAGAAGTTCCTACTACAATTCTATTCTACAACTTAATCTTGTATCACAAAGAAAAGGAGAACCTAAAAATGGAGGAAAGAATGAAAGCTTAAATACAGGTTCTGTGATTAGCATAAGGTCAGTGGGGACAGCCAAGACAGTAGGAATAATAGAAGGCCCTTTTGCCAGATGTTGTTATTGACATTAACCTCCAAGCTCACATTGGGTAAAAAAGTCAACTCCACAGTAGCAAACAATGCCTGAATGGATTAGAGTTCTTCCTCAGGGTGGTCCGGTGTCCATGCAAAGGAAGGCAGAGCTGCATTCAGGTGGTTGTAGAGACATCCACTGGGCCCTGCCATACAGCGGGAAGTTCCTTGCGGCCCTGCCTGCAATGGAAAAATATTCTTCACACCTTCCTGTCCCCCACATCCACTGCACAGACCCCAACATTGCAACCTTGCCCAGACTGG